TTGTCCATGCGTTTAAAGAAATATGTAAGTTTATTAAACTATACCTGCAGTATTTTCCATTTCCGGTTGAAGTGCGTCTGCTGGTGTCGGAGTTGGAGGTTTTTGAGGAATTGGTGTTCGTAGCGGTGGAGTTTGTGTTGATGAACGTTTCTCCTCATTTAGTGTTTGTAGTTTTTTCTTTAGTTTTCTCATTTTCTTTTTTATGTATTCTTCATGTTCATGTTTACGTTTTCCCATTTTTCTTCCTCTTTTGCTTAATCTTAACACACTTTATAAAAATAAATGTTTATAGCGAAAGAAGGAATTTATACCGCGTACGAAACGTCAAAAATGTTCACCCGTAAAATGCAAATCTAATCGTCAATCCAGTTTAACCTATTGACACACGTTGTGTGACAATAGGTAGTGACATATATTGACACACTTGCTTACCGCAAAAAGTAAGGCGTTAGACGAGTCATGAGTCGAAAGTGTAAATGCAGAATTTTTTATAAATTAATGAACGAAAGTTTTGTTTTTGTTAAAAAGTAAAAATATGGCGTACTTCACCTGTAAATTACTTGATTGAAGTTGGGTTTTCACTGATAATAGCTTAGACTATGGAAACTAAAGGACATGTTATGTTGACATATATAAATAATACGTTATATGTACATATATGATGCATTTCGACGTTGAAAACATAAATATGTAATTGCCTTTGTTTAATTCTTGCGTGCCGTCTTAAACCAAAAGAGATAGCAGTACATTGGTCTGTGTCAAACACGGGAATCGAAAGTACGTAACGTCATCTTAAATGCCAACCGTGTCCATTTCGCAGTATATGAGGTACATGATACGGTTGTCAAAGGGAAGTACATCAAATGTAAAATGTTTTATAGAATTATTCGCATGTATTGTAATAAAATGGACAAAAATATCGACGATAGTGAGAACAACTAAGTATTAATAAAAATTCGTCGCTGCAGCATTACAGGATGTGGCATTTGAAAAAGCGAAGATCGACTGAATGTAACATTGTACAGGCACGTGTTAGTTTTCTGTCTATAAATTACACAAAAGCCCAAATATCTCATGTGATAAGACATATTTAAGTAGTTTATTCATAAATCTTGCCAAATTTTGCTTTGCTTTGGTTTCTTCAGATTGCCTATTTGTTTGTATATTTTGATCATTGTTGTTAACGATTATTTTGAGATAGTGTTGTTCTTGGAAGCGTACATATTATCGATATTCTGTTATTAAAATAATTCACTACGACGTTTTTATTATTATTATTTTTACTATTTCAAGTTTACCTACAAATCAAAAATGAAAGAATGGTTGGAAATCATACCGCCGTATAATGGTGCCGAATATAAAAATTGTATCAAAGACCATCTTCATTTATTCACTTCACTTTGAAGAGTCAAATTTTAACATATTTTTGAAAGTAACTAGATTACATGATAATGCAATTCCTTCGTAGGTTTATTGGTAAATATTTTTATATTTAATTTAGATTAAACAAGACTCATTTACTAAGCATTCTCAGTTCCTGAAAACAAAATTATCCACTCGTTTCCAATTTTTTCCCACTGACAACTCTAACTACTAAAAATTCTTATTTTATAAAGCCAGCAATACAAAGACCATGTTGGCCTAACGTTGCCGGGTGAAGGCCAATACCAACGTATAGACAGCCTATTTGCCTTGCCATCGTTCGGTGTCACTCGCCTAGCTGACCGAGTGAAGGCGAGCGCTAACGTGTATAGAGCTCGTTTGACGTGGCTTGTCACAACTCTCAGTCGCTCGTGACTACTTGTCTCACTTCGGAGAAGTGTCGATTTTTCTGCACAAATCAAAGGCGCTCGGCCAATAGTTGTCAATTGGCATTGTATAATCAGACATTTGCATGCTATTTAATATATGCGAAACATGTTTATACAACACTGTCTCTTGTTACATCTCCTGTTATACCATGTTTTAAGCAAATAAACGTATGATAATAATATTATTATTGATAATATTACTACTTTCATTTATTTCCAAAATTAAATGGAAGTATTAAAGATTCACTTAAATCAGTCACTGGTACTAATTCTATATCATTGCATAAATACAAAAAAGCTTACACTATTTGAAATCTGTTTAAAAATTTCTCTATGAAAAAAAATTAATCTTGAGGTTGGAAATGTATAGGATTTATATTTCAAAGTTTTCTATTTTTTATATTCTCTCAAATTACAAATAGAATTTTTTTCTGTGCAAATTCACTTTTCGTAACATGTGACTATTTGTAAACGCAAAACAATAAATTAAAAATTTCATGTGACATTCCCGGATATTCCTATATAACCTAAAATATTCCTAAATGGAATTGATCTACTTTAATTAAATGTTTGTATTTCGATAATGACTTATAGATAGATTATGGTACGACACTAAAGAAATCCGCCATTTGTTCGTTCAATTTTTGTTTAGGTATGCACGTTCATTCCGTAGTTAGGGCAGCTCCTTTCTTTTATTTTTTTCCCATCCTCTAAGGATAATAGTGTGAAAAAAAACATTATTTTTCAATGCCATAACATTTCAACTTTAACGTAGTTTAGAATGACGTTACTTTTTAACTCGTGTCGTATCATTTTTACAATAAACTTATTTTAAAACAAAATACACGTAACCGGTGCTTTGCTCAAAAATCGTAATGACATTGGAGTTGCCATATCTAAACAAATATACGGCCTAGAAGTTTTTTGTTTTAGATCTTTAAAAATTGTGACGGCGCTTGTACGTACAATCAACGTATACTACATCGTTAAACCGTCTCGGACAAGAAGAGAGCATAATTTAAGTCAATCATAATATACAACAGCATTATAAACAAATTCGATTATGGTCTGGTTATAAATGCTGTAGATAATTGTTTAAGCATCAAGCTTGACTATAGCGTACATGAGTTTTAGATTATTATTATTATTATTATTAATGAAAAATAATAATAATAATATATACTTTTATTGATGATATTAAATTTACTACTTAATGATAATGATATGTTTCGGTTTTGTGGTACTAGTATTAAATTTTGGTATAATGACTTTAAAATAATGTTGTGCACCTTAACTGGTAGATTATGCAGTTCTAAGCTATGTAATATATAAAGATCATATACAAATGACCTGTATTTATGCAATAAATATATTTTTATTCTTACAATAACAATATACTTTACATTACAAAATAAATGAAATATATCGGGCTTAGGTTTGACAGTGAGCCAACAAATGTTTCAATTGTAAAAAGTGATTAGTATCCTGTTGTGACGACCTGTGTGGTGTTATGGTGGTTCGATTCCCGGCCGGGTCAATGTACATACACTAACTTTTGTATATTGTCTAGGGTCTGAGTGTTTGTGGTACCGTCGTTGCTTCTGATTTCCATAACACAGGTGCTTTAGTTACTTTGGGATCAGAGCAACGTGTGATGTTGTCTAATATTTATTTTTGATTTGTCTTGTTTTAACTCATGTATTTATCGTATAACGTGCAAAATTAGGAGGTAAGGTAACACACCTTACCTCTTAATTTTGTATACTGAGGTTGCCTGGAAGAAATTGCTACTTAGCAATATGGCCACTGGATCTATATTAGCTTAGTTTGATATACTTCAAGTACGGTTCTGTAATGTCATAATTTTTAATGTGGAATAAAAAATATTCCATGAAACTCAAATTCAAATGGAAATATAATAACTGGACTGATCTTCCTAGTCGTTCCAAACGACTATAAAGCATCCCACATACTACAGCAATATTCAAGAATGCGTAAACTCAAGGTACTCTTAATAATGACTAGCCGAGCGAAATAAGACATCGTTAAGTAGAAAATTACTGCCAAAACAATAACAGCTGACTATTTATTTGATGGCTGGAGTTTGTGCATGTGTGCCTCACACATGCAGAAAGTAATTATGTTAGTAAACACTCCGCCCACTCAGGTATTGCCATACGATGTTATTCTATTGACATTTCACATGAAGGTTGCTCTACTCGACGGCGTCGTGATTTTGCGTAACTTACCTCATCGGTCGAGCCTTACTTAGCTAACATCTTTTTATAATCACGGTAGTGTTGATGTAATAACAACGTTTTCCCTCTTTGCAATTCGTAGTTTTTTTTTCTAAACAAAATGGTGATAGAAAGTGAGTTTAAAGGTTTTTTTAAAGCGATCTGCGTGGGTGTCTACCAGATGTCGATTTCATGGTCTCATTGTCTGTGTTCGAATTTTGTGGAAACGATGTAAATTTTGACGTGTTTTGATAGTCAACTGCAATATTTCGTAGTGTTGTGTTAAAACTATCGGTGATATAAGCGGTTTTTAGTTATTTTTATATGTGAACACCTTTAGCTGGTTAATACTAGTGGAATTTATCTGTAAATGCGGAATCATTAATATCATAAAGGAAGTTTCATCTAAATGCATTTGGAATGTGTTTCACCAATAATGATTAATGGTATTAATGGTATTAATGGTATTCATATTTAAAAAGATATTTATTTAATTATTTATTGTACAAGAAAACGCAAATCACATTTAGTAAAACGGAAAATACAAACAAAACTACTACTACTACTGCTTATTTCTATAAGAAATGTCTTCCTGCAGACCAAAAGTTCCTGTAAACCACGGGATACAATAATTACCATAACGGGTAATATAATAATGTAATAAAATAATAAAAAAAAATAGCAAAAACATTAAGTTACTACAGACTATATAAATACCTAGATAAATACATATTTAATATTATAAAATCTATGAAGCGAATGGAACTGAGGATAAATAGTGCTCCTTGACTCGCACTTTAATGATAGCTAAGGATTTACTATCATGCACAGTAATGGGAAGTGCGTTCCAAAGTCTGTAAAAAGAAAGTAATTAAAACGCTTTTAGAAAACAATAACATCCCAAGATAAAACAAATCACTTATATACATACATGTAAACATTTGTTTTCCAGCTGCACAAGATGTCGAGGAGAAGAAGCCAGAACGGCCAACCAAAACAGGCAACTCCATTTATCCCGTACTCAACAAATACACCGAGAGATCACAATGCGTCAAGGAATTTACCACAACTAAAAACACGTAAGACTTTATTGTACTTTATGTTAGTGTAAAAGGTGCCTCAAGGTAGGATTTTTAAGGAGATTAGATGTTGACTTCTTGTACTAAATAATTGTATTTTGTACATATTTTAAAAGTGCGTGTAATTGAAGCTACCAGCGCAAAAGTGGTGTAACCCACATTCAAATTTTTTTCTACAATTTTACTAAAAAAAAAACCTAATTATTTTATATTTGGATGCTATTTTCGTGTATAAATACAAAAATATTTTTTATAAATGGAACTAATAAGAAGGCCTGTAGGTTTACTATATTTGTATTTGAATTTGGGCTTCATAAATAGAAAGTAATATAAAAAAGTTGCGTACATTTTATTATTTTTTAAACAAACCAACATTTCGGGTCCTTTGCAGGTCTCGTGGTCACGGCTGACTGAGCTGTTGTTTGTTTGAAAAGACGCGATTTAGATCCGGAAAAAGTTGTTTCATTTCCAATGTGTAAAAAATTTATTTGTATTTACACAAACTTGACCTACCAATAAATGGACGTCGGGTTCGCGCTAAAAAGTGTCCGCAACTGTAGGGCGTTAAAATCGCATACAGAGCGTCAATCGCGCTTTAGTCTTCGTTTGTTCGACTGACAGCGCGCTTGTCAATGATGCCGTATTGTGTAGTAAAACCTTGTAAAAATTACTAAAGTGAAAAAACAGGGTGGTATATCATATTTTCAGTAAGTACTACATTGTGTTATCATAGTTATCATTTAAAAGTGTTATTTTATGCACTAGTATATATAGCATTTAATTTATATATAACTGAATCGTAAATATAAATTACAAAAGCACACAAAATAGTGAAATAGCTAACTGTCCTTTTCCTACTCATTGCATGCGCAAAAGATGGAAAGAGACCCATTACGTCAGTTTCAAGAAGCTTATATAAACTTCTTGGCCATTTTCAATTGTTCGAACCACAAGCGATTGAAATATTTAGAACAAAGAAACTGTAGAGTTGCTTTGATTTTATTCCTATTTTTAAAATGATTCTTTTATTAAACGTTAGCAATAACTAACAAAATATTGTTGAACTCGTTTTGCGGCACGGGATTACCTATCAGAGGTCAGAAAATACATTTGCCCGAAATAACATATGCTCGAATTTTCATAATGTGTTTTTATGAAGATTACAAAACAAAAGCTAATTTTGTCTATGTAAAAAGCATCAAAATTACTCGAAAGCGTAACGGTTTTGTTATAAATCGGAATTACGGATATTTGAGTTTACGTTTAGTTAGTATATCGGTACATTTCTTATAGTACACCATTGACTTACAAATAAATGGACGACGGGTCTAATACAAAAACCACGAAAAAATGTCCCAAGTCAACCTATTTAAACGTAGTGATGTGTAAAGGTATATGAAACAGCTAAAACGTTGAATTTACATTGTAATGTCATTGCAGTACTGCCTAATTTTGCTTGCAACAATTGAAAGGCAAAAAAACACCATATTCATCTTCTACTGGAAACTTACCAAAACACCATATGTAGCTTCTAGTGAAAACTACTTGAACACATGTATAACGGAGTAGCTTTTATTATTTATAAATAAATTTTATACGTAAATGTATTTTGTATTTTGTGAATTTATACAATGCCATTTATTACGAGCTAGGGTGTCTAACTTTTTTTCTTGAGTTCCGAAAATTCTCGTACCCGATTTCTCGAGTTATTCGAGATTTTTTTTAAAAACCGTAAAAAATCAGCTCAATCAACTATAAAACTAAACGTGAACTTTTCGAAAGTTGTTTGTTATGTGTGTTCTGAGTTATGGAATAAATTCTATCGTTCTTGGTCCCAGGTTCGATTCCCAGTAGAACCAATTTGGGAAATGAACTTTTGTAAATTGGTTCTGCTCTGGAATTCTGTTGCTCTGATACTCATGGGGAGTATGTACAGAGAGTTCCCTAGTTTCAAACCAGGTGATTGTCTTACAATAGAATACCAAGACCAGAACCATTTAGAAAAGTTAAATTGATTCTACCGGTATCGAACCCGGGAACTTCTCATCCAGTGCCCACAGTGCAAACCGTTAGGCTATCAAGGTTGTTACTATTTGTATTATTATGCTGTGTTTTTGTTCACTCATTGATGTAATCACATGCCAAAGCTTTAATATTATGGTCTTTTATCAAGCTTGCATCAGCTCTGGTTTCCTTTCTTTTCTTAACATGTTTTTAACCCGTTCGTACATAGTACTGAAATTATACTGCGCTCAAAAACGTCACCACTTTTCTATATGCCGTAGTGCTTACATAGATTCAATATAATTATTACGGTTTATCACAGACGACGGTTGATTCCGTCAACAGGCATAGTCGTATGCTCATAGTTCTTGCAAATGTTGCAAGTTAAAAAAGTACGGCTATGACGGTACTAGAGTATTTGCCGTTGTGAGATAATTACAAAATTAAAATGCGCGATATTGAAACGCTTTCCAAAATAAACACTTAGGTACTCATTAATAATAATAATTATAATAACGCACACACTCAACATTGCCCCGCAATAGGGAAACCCTGTGTCGCGGGTGCCATGGACACACATATAGACAACCACAAATTACATCCAAACTCAAGAGAGAAATAAATGTAGGCCATACACATATTTCTCCCGAAAAACCTAAAAAAATACTTTCGGGATTATGGAAATTCATGAAAACGTTATTTCGGGCAAATGTATTTTCGGTTTTCTGATTCGTAACCCCGAGCCGTAGAAAGAGTACAACAATATTTGAAAGTATTACTAACATGTATTAAAAAATATTTTAATAATAACATTAGCATCAAAGCGACTCTATGAAATACTTGTTCTAAATATTTCAAACGCTTCTGTTTCAAACAATTGAAATTGACGTGATGGGTCTCGTTCAATCTTTTACGCAAGCAATGAGTCGGAAAGAGACAGTTAGCTATTTGATTATTTTGATTGCTTTTGTAATTTATATTTACGATTAATTTAAATATATATGAAATACTATATATGTATACTAGTGCATAAAATAACATTTTTAAATGATAACTATGATAACACAATGTAGTACTTACTGAAAATATGATATACCACCCTGTTTTTTCACTTTAGTTGAGTAATTTTTACAAGGTTTTACTACACAATACGGCATCATTGATAAGCGCGCTGTTAGTCGAACAAACGAAGACTAAAGCGTGACTGACGCTCTGTATACAATTTTAACGCCCTGTAAGTTCGGACACTTTTTAGCGCGGACCCGACGTCCATTTATTTGTAAGTCAATGTAGTACACGCTTATTTTCACATTTGTAGTAAATTGTATGTATGCATCTGCCCAACTCTTTTTATACCTTTAAGAGAATTTATACAAAATTCGACATAATAATATATATATAAAAAAATTAATTGATATCTATGAGAAAGGCAATAGCCTTTCTCATAGATATTAATTTTTTTTTTATTCCATTACTCTTGTGTTCAAGTAATTTTCAGTTGAAGCTAATTACGGTGCATTTTGTTAAGTTTCCAGTAGAAGCTGAATATGGTGTTTTTGGGCTCTTAAATTGTTGTAAGCAAATTTAGGCAGTACTGCAATGACGTTACAATTTAAATTAAATGTTTTAGTTTTTTATTTTTCGTTACATGTCACTATATATAGGTATAGGTTAACCTCGGACATTTTTTTCGTGGTTTTTGTATTAGACCCGATATCCATTTGTTGGTAGGTCAATGGTGTAAATGTATTTTATTACACATAGGAAATGAAATTATTCTATGGGTTTGATGGTCGTATTCCAGAACTCTACTCAATGCTCAAGTCAGGATTTGAGTATGGTTTAAAGCACTCGAAATTATACTCAAGTCCCTGCCATTAGGGTCGTATTTCCAGTGCTTGTGTTTCAATTGCAATCCTGACTTGAGCATTGAGTAGAGTTCTAAAATACGACCCTAAGTCTGTGACCCGTGACTTTGGAACCTGTTAAGAGTCTGAACGTAGATTTATTAAAAAAAAACAAATATACGCGATTTTATATCCCAAAAAAATAATTACATGTCCAATATCATATTACTTATTATTACATGATTTATAACTTTAAATAATACGCTTACTGTTTATGTTTTAATGGAATTTATTAACCAATGTCCTATAATAAATATTTCGACTTATCCGAAGAACAGAGTCCGATGTGATTATATAGCAAAAAGAGTATAAGTACGTTACGAGAATAAGTTCGTCATTCAAACTAAGGC